AGTGGGAGGGGCAGGGGAAAGGAAAGAAGGGAAAGGAAAAATGCTGAGAAATGGAAAAAATGGAAATAAAGTCTTTGTAGATAGGGAAGGGTGGAGGGGGTGAAGGGAAGGCTAGGAATGGGGAAAACAAAAGAATTCAGAATACAGCCCTAAAGTTAGTATGGAAATCAGTATGGAGATTCCTCAAAAGACTAAAATTTGAAATTACATTTGATCCAGCTATTCCCCTTCTAGATATCTTCCCCAAAGAGACATCATATTATAGTAATACATGCATGTCCGTGTTTATATCAGCACAACTCATAATAGCCAAATTTAAGAAGCAGTTTATCTGTCCATGGGCAGGTGAATGGATAAAGAAAATGTGGTATTTATACATGGTGGAGTACTACTCTCCCATAAAGGAAGATAAATTTGAGTTATTTGCAGGAAAATGGATGCAGCTTGAGAACATAATGTTAAATGCAATCAGTCAGATATACAAGCTTAAATAGAGCATAGTTTCTGTTTCATGAGAAACAAATTTAAAGAGCAAACTAAAAGATATATCATAGGAAGTTGGGACATAGATCGTTCTCAAACGGGAAGGTGATCAAGAGATGGAGTGAGGGGAGGGAGGGGAAGGAACGTGGTATGTACAGGTACCAACTCAACAGAAGGAATGTAAACATGTACTGCAAACATGGACTAAAAAAATCCTTGGGGGGAGGAAATGATATGAAGATAACCAATGTGTATGAAAAAATACTGAACATCATGTATCATCAAAGAAATACAAATTAAAGTAATTATGAGATATCATTGCACACCACTTAAAAAGTCCAAAATCCAGAACACTGATAACACCAAATGCTGCTAAGGATGTGGAGCAGCAGAAACTCACATACATTGCAAGTGGGAATGCAAAATGGTACAGTTCCGAAAACAGCTCAACCATTTCTTTAAAAACTAAACATTCTCTTCCCTTATGATCCAGCAATTATACCCCTTGGAATTTACCCAAATTAGTTGGAAACTTATGTCCCCATAGAAACACGTACTTGGATGTTTATAGCAATTCTGCTCATAATTGCCAAAACTTGGGAGCAAGAAAGATATCCCTTTAGTAGGGATTAAACTTCAGTACTTCCAGACATGAACTATTACTGTACTCTGAAAAGAAATGAGCTATAAAGACATGGAAGAAGCTGAAATGCATTTTCCTAAGTGAAAGAATGCAATTGGAAAAGGTTCCATACTGTTTGATTGCGATTATATAGCATACTGGAACAGGCAGAACCATGAAGGTAATTAAAGGACCAGTGGTTGTCAGAAGTTAGAGGGGAGTTTGGGATAAATAGATGGAACATAGATGATTTTAAACTATTCCATATGACACTCCAATGGTGATGTGTGTCATTGTACATTTGCCAAAACCTGTAGAATGTACTCTGAATAGCCCCAAGGAAACTGGACTTTCATGGGTAATGACATGTTGTAAGTTCATCGACTGTAGCAAGTGCACCTCTCTGGGTTCAGATGTCTACAGTGGGGGAGGCTCTAAGTGTGAGCAGAAAATAGGGAGGACAGAGGAACTCTCTGGAGTCTCCACAATTTTGCCAGGAACCTAAAACTACTCTGAAAGAATAATGTCTGTTTTTTCAAAAGAAACAAAATAGATAACTAAATGCCTAGTAAAAACTAACTCTTCTTTGTTAAAAAACACAAAACAGAAACCCAAAGTGATTCATACTACTAAAAGCAACATCACTAATGACAAAACAGAAAACCCCCTGAATGCTATATAATTATATCAACTGATCAGTGATTGCCATGGAAATAATCAGTATTACACAAGGATATCTACTGTAGTATTACTTATAAGAATAATAAGAAACAACAAACACGGCCTGAAACAGAGGAATGTTAAATGCATGTACAACACGTAATGCACATCATTTCTGAAAATAGCCTTTCTGAAGAATATTTGCAGTGCTGAGGATCAAACTCAAGGCTTCATGCATGCTGGGCAAGTGCTGTAACACTAAGCTACATTCTCAGTCCTTTGAAGGATATTTCATGATCTGAGAAAGTCTTCACAGTATAACCTTAAGGGAAAATAAGATATTTAAACCATATTAAAAGCTCTTCCTTTGGAAAAGAGTTGGGGGAGGTTAGGGATGATGTGGAGAGAGACTTAGTTTTGATTTTATAATCTGTAATATTCTCTTTGTTTTATTTTGCGCAAAATCCTATAAAAAACCAGAAGAACAATAAAACATTGTCGTGGGTATTAAGATTAAAAAGAGCAAAAGAACAAACATTATTGTGGTTATTGTTGCTATTAGGATTAAACTTCAGAGTTACTGTTATTATGTATTGTTTTAGATTTGTTTTCTGACTTATATGTGCTGCAGAAGCGAGCACTGTTTTCTGACTTTTTAAAGTATCCATTAAAATACGAACATTTTCTTATAGCATTAGTCTTTGAAAACATTTTAATGACTACATAATATTTCATCATATAGACTATTAATGACATTAATCTTTTTACAAATTTTAAAATTTAGGTAATAGATTTATATGGTTCAAAAAAAAGATAATATGAAAAATAAGTCCACCTTCCACAATTCCCCTCATTTGTCCAGTTCCCCAACCCCTAGTCACCATTACTCATTATTTTGCTGTGTATTTTTTCAGATCTCTTTATGTGATATAAACAGACTACATTCTTTTTTTTGGTACTGGGGATCGAACTCAGGACCTTGTGCTTTCGAAGCAGGTGGCAGAACCATTGAGCTAAATCCCCAGCCCCAGAGTACATTCTTATCCCCCTCTCTTTTACAGTGCTGGGGAGTGAACCCAGGGCATTGTACATGCTAGGCAAGTGCTCTACCACTGAGCTGCACCCCTGGCCCCTCAGTTCTCCTTTTTTGAAGGAAAGCTAGCAGATCACATATGCTGCCTATACCATACTTAAATGATTTAGAAGATTTTAGGTTATAAGAATAGATCTTTTCCAGTTTAGACTGCATTCCAGGTTGGCACACGTCTTTCTAGTTTGTTTACCACGGTCCTCTGCTGTCACTGACCGTATTGTTTCCAGGTCTCCCCCATTTGGTTCTACTGGGTAGTGCCATGCAGAAAGTACTGGACTGCCAGTGAGTGGGAAGACCGGAAGCTTAGTTCTGGCAGACTCATGCCTGTGCTGGATACCAGTTTCCTCATTTGTGAAGTAAAGGTTTTAATTATGTAATTTAAAATGTTTTTTTGGGATGTGCTGTGCTGGGGATCAAACCCAGAGTCTTATACATACTAGGCAAGTGCTCTGCCCCTGAGCCACATCCCCAGCCCTTGACTGGATGATTCCTAATGTTTGGCTTTAATAGTTTCTGATTTGGTTCTTAAAGTATGTGGTGACAGTGGCTACTGGCTCCTTTTACCCCAAGTAACCATAGGTCATGGGGTGGGATTTGAAGAGGGGAAGGCTTTGAGTAAGAGCTGGAAATACATAGAAAGCAGAGCAGGAATACAAGAGGCATTTTGTAAAGGGCTAACTAAGAGTAAGGCACAGGAAACTGCAGTATCAATGCTGTGTGTGGAAAGCAGTTTCAGAGTAACCTGAGATTTGAACCAGTAAGGGTTATATGAGGTGTTTTTTTTTTTTCCTCCCTGTCAACATTCCTTATAGGTTATCTGGAGTTAATAGCTTTTGAAAAAAAAAAATGTGTGTATATATGTATATATATATATTTGGATGGCAAAGAAGTTTGTTTGTTTGTTTTTAGGGGATAAAGAAAACTTCCATGACAAACATTCCAATTTTATTATCTTTCTGAATGTATATGTATTTTTGCATTTCAGACAATAGATGATTTGCTGCGATGTGGAATTTGCTTTGAATATTTCAACATTGCGATGATAATTCCTCAATGTTCACATAACTGTAAGTATGTTTTGTCTTTGTGAGTTAGTAAGAATGTGATTTTTATATGAGGTAGTGTTAATTTAGCACCAAAAATATGTATACATGTTTATTTCTTACCTTTTTTAAAATTTTTATTTCTTACCTCTATCTTGCAGTTTTAAGAAGATCTTTCCCACACTTCTTTTTTCTTGTTTTTGAGACAGGGTATTACTGTGTAGTTCAGCCTGGCCTTGAACTCACTACATAGCTCATACTGGCCTTGAACTCTAGGTCCTCCTGCCTCACCCTCTTAAGTGCTGGTATTACAGCTGTGTGCCACCATGATTGGCCACTTCCTTCTTGAAGGTGAAGGTTTTTCCTCTTATGTTCTATCACCTTCCCCTTGAATGTTTTTGTGCATTTTAGGGTATTTATGACAATAAAGATTTTTATTATGATATGTGGTTCTTTATTTTTATTTTTTGTAAGTACTGGGGGATTAAACCCAGGGATGCTCTGCCACTGACCTTTGTAATTTTTATTTTTTATAATTTTTATTTTGAGACAGTCTAAGTTCCTAGACCTGCAATCCTCCTGCCTCAGCCTCACTAAGAGCTGGGATTACAGGTGTGTCCCATCACACCTGACAATAGTTTTGTTCTTATTTATTTCTTTTTGAGATGGAGTCTTTCTAGTTGCCCAGGCTGGTCTTAAATTCATGGATTCAAGTGATTCTCCCATCTTAGCCTCTCAAGTCACCAGAACTTCATGCATGCACCACCATGCCCAGCTCAGAATTTTATTTTTTACAGGATAAAAATTAGGTACTTCAACCAAATATTACTTGGTATAACATTTTAAAGGTTAAAAATCTGTAATAGTAACAATATAGCTGCTTTTCAATTTATGATGGGTTATATTCCAATAAATTCACTATGAATTTAAAATACTTTTTGGCTGTACTGGGTATTAAACCCAGCGCTGTCACACTGAGCTATATCCCTATCTTCCCTTTAAAGGCTTTATTTTGAGACAGGGTCTGGCTACATTGCCCATGCTAGGGTTGAACTTTCAGTCCTCCTTCCTCTGCCTCCCATGCCTGAGTTTCCAAAGTGCATTTAATATACCTAACCTGCCAAACATCATAGCTTAGCAGCAGAGTACACTGCAGAGTGTACTGGCTGCTTATCCTCGCGATCGTGTATATGGCTGACTAGGAGCTGTGATTCACTACTGCTGCCCAACATTTCTAGATGGTATTGTCCTGCGAGGGAGTATATTACTGCATATTGCTAGTTTGGGAAAAAAAATTCCAAGTATGGTTTCTGTTGAGTGTGTATTGTTTTTGCCCCATGGTAAAGTCCAAAAATTTTAACTTAAACCATTGTAAGCTGAGGATTATCTGAATTTACAGTGTGAGAATTTTACCGCTGAAGAGAATTACAGTTTTATCACCAAACTGCTGTGTGATGCTGGAAAGATTAATATGTTAGAATTTACCTAGCTGGGGCTGGGGGTTTGGCTCAGTGGTTCTGCCACCTGCCTTGCAAGCGCAGGGTCCTGAGTTCGATCCCTGGTACCAAAAAAAAAAAAGAATTTACCTAGCTGGATATGGTAGTGCAGGTGGAATCTCAGCACTGTGGAAGGCTGAGGCAGGAGGATTGCAAGTTTGACTCCAGTGTGCGAAAATTACCTAGAGCTTGTCTCAAAATGAAAAAAATAGGAAAGGGCTGGGGATGTAGCTTATTGTAAAGGCCCTAGATTCAATCCATAGTACTGAAGAAAAAAAGGAAAAAAGGAAAATTTACTTATCCTTCTCTTTATGATTTTATGAGAAGCTTTTAAATACTAAATGAGCAGGTTTTTAATTTTTGTTTTGAGGTGCTGGGGATTGAACCCAGGTCCTTGCACACACTAGCCATGTGCGCTACCACAGGGTCATATCCCCAGCCCTAAGCATTTTTATGTAATGTAGCTTGAGGTATTCAGTACATAGGGGTTGGTTAAGCCTATCATTGTTCAGTTTATGGATTACTTAGGTTCATGATCTTTCTTGTCTTCTATTTTAAGTTGATTTGTCTTAGAAAGCTAAAAATCAATCAAGTTACTATTTAAAAACCATGGTTTCAGTAGGAAACAGCATTGGTGAAAAGTTTCTGTGAGAAAGACATACATAACAAAAGGATGACAGTAATAATGGCAGGGACTGCAGTGATGCACTTAGGCTTGACTCTTGAGTCCACAGTAAGTGGGGTTTGCAGCTGCCCAGCATTTCTTCAAGTGTTCACATCTGGTAGTTTCTACCTTAGATGATGGTTAGGAGAATGGAGTGTCCAGAACTCAGTTATGGGTTCTTAAGAATTTAAATTTTCTCTCAGACCAGATCCACATTAATTACCATGGGAGATTTAGGGGATTAATTCTAAATATATTTTAACATCATCTTCATTTTAGTATAATTTACATGCAATAAAATAATTTTTAAGTGTATATTACATTGTACAAGTATCAGTGATTTTTTTTTTAGTATCAGTGAGTTTTGACAAATGTGTATATCACTTTGCCACTATGACTAAGATATTGAACCTTTCTGTTATCACCTAACATTCTCCTCATTTCACTTAATATGGTCCCAGCCAGGCGTCTGTTCTGGACTCTTCTGTTGATCTATATGTCATCCTTGTGTTCATACTCCTCTTTCTTAGTTACTATGTCTTTGTAGTAAATTTTGGAGTCAGGCATTGTTAAGGCCTCCAACTTTGTCTTTAGTTCTCTTAAAAGCTTTTCATTTTATATGCATTTCCAGTACATTTGGATTCAGGCTGTCAATATCTACAAAAAAATCTTGCTGGAATGTTCAGTAGGATTGCACTGAATTTAGGGATTAATTTCATAGATTTAATATCGTAAATGTTGAGTCTTCAGTGTGTGAGTGTGATATATTTTTCCATCCTTTAACTTCTCTTTAATTTCTCTCAACAATGTTATTTAGTTTTCATTGTTCAGATTTTGCACATAGAAACATAATTTTTTTATATTGACCTCTTGTGATCATGCTAAATTCACTTTTAAGTTCCATCATCTACTTCTGTTGATTTCTTAAGAATTTTTTCATGTACAATCATGTCATCTGTGAATAAAGTCATAGTGACATCTTTTTAATCCATATGCTTTGTTTCTTGTTAAGCAGGTTAGTACCTCAAGTGTAATGTTGAATGGAGAAGTGCTATGGGTAGACATCCTATGCTCAGTCCTGATTTTATGGGGATGGCCTTTGGTCTTTCATCATCAGATATGATGTTAGCTATATTTTTAAATATTCATAATATATTTACATAATTTTCAGGTTGAAGAAGCTCTTCTCCTGGTCCTACTTAATTGAGAAGCTTTTTAAGAAAATAATATTCCCTATCTTTTTTGTTTCTGGAGGATCTGCAGTAATGTACTGTGAGAAATGCATTCACCCTTCCAGACCTGAGGAATGAACTCAGAGGCATGAAGAGCAGTGAAAGAGAGGGGTTTTAATGTCAGTCTTGCAAGGCTGGGTATCTGCTATGTAAGCAGGCACATCTGGGGAAATTACAGCAAGCAGTTTATCCCTTAGCATGCAGGTCTCTTCCCTCACTTCTTCATTGGATGAGTAGTGTGGGGGATACAGTCTTTCCAGATGTCACTTAAGTTCTCCGGGTTTTTTTTTTTTTTCATTAAGTTTATTGGTACATTTTAGGTATACAGTACAGTTACATTCATCATTGGAAACTTGTACCTTTACATGATGTATCTTGGTTCTTATTTTTTCCCCATTCCCTTGCCCTCCCTTCATCC